GTTTTATACAGCAATTACTTGTTTGAATAAAATGGCATGTAAAGGAAGGATAATAAAATGAATAAAAAAGTATATAAGTAAAAGTAAAAAAAAAAAAAGTATGATCAGCTGGTGCAGCTTACTGTCACCCAAGATGGGGAAACAATGGAACAAAAGGTTAAGAGTCACAGTCAATCCAGCCTTGACTAAAATAGTACCAAAGCACATAGCACAGCACAATTGGCATCCAAAAACTTTGAGAGGGCAGACTGCAGCTCTTCTTTGCAAAGTTGATCCACACTCTACTCTATGTGCCCATCATTTCATGGGGCTGATGACTCGAATAAGAAGCTGGCAGGCATCTAGGATGATTATCACTCTAGGACGTTGTATTGTGCTTCTACGAATTGTTATTATTGAATGAATTTTTCATAGACTGACGGTTTCTGGCTTTCTGTAAGGCCACCTTACCATCCAAAGATATAGCCAAAATACTATTCTTATTTCGTTTTCATCATACACACTCAATAATAGCCTTAGTCTATCAGTAAGGCTAGGGCAAGGGCTATTTTAATGATGCAAATTTAAATGTGAAAATTAACACATGTTAAGGGAAATTATACCAAGTTAAATTAGATCAACCAGAGAAAGGGGATTTTAGAACACTCCCCACCCCAACCCTACCACTGCACCAGTGCTATAGGAATATCAAGCAAACATAACATTATTGTCACTTCCTCAAAATCTTGACCCAAAGAGAAAAAAATCAGTTCTGCCTACCCCGTAGATCAGGCACCATTCTACTCAGAGAGATCCTCAAATTCTGGACAGATTATTGCAGATCCACATGTTTCCTTTTTTCATTATACATGTCTGCAGTGCATAATGTTTACATTCCTGTGTGGAGCTGGTGCATGTACCTAACACATCTTAGTTCCTTTTTTAAATCTTCTTTCCTGCCCCTCCCTCCCCCTCCCCCATCTCTCGATCCTCTTCCCTTTGAGAAGGATCAATCTCCCTACTTCCTATCATCTATCTTTTATTTTGCTCTTTGTTGTTTGTGTTTCTCATATAAGAGAAACCATGTGATATTTAAAATTCACATTGTGAAGTAAGTTTTTGCCTAGTTTTGCAATATTCGTTGTTGCAACCGTTCTGTAAACCCTTGCCTGGTATAAAAACACATTTTTAATTTCACATCAGCAACAATCATGAGACAGACTGACTAGATGCCCTCCAGTCCCTTTTACCCTTCATGAGGATACAGGAAAATGACATTTCCTATCTCTGCCCGGGGCCATGTGGCCAGGTACTGGTCTTAGGACTGTGGAAAGAAATGATGACTGTCCCTTCCAGGCTTGGTATAAAACACCCCAGATAATCATCCTCATTCTATGTTGTAGCTCATCAGCTGGGAAAACTGAAGATCTGAGGACACCAAAAAGACCCTCAGAAGCAGAAGAGCCACAGGATGAAACGGGTCCAGGTCTCCATAGCAACCCTGGAGGAGAGGCCTGCAGGGTCGATGCCTGGTCCTCAGCAGGCTACAGCATCGGTAAAAAAGTCAACCTCGCTTAAGTAAACCAGTGAGACTTAGGGTGTTGGTTAAAACATGTAGTCAGTTGTGGCTAATATTATATGGCTCACATCTTCATGACTGAAGAACTGAGTCTGTAAAAAGCTTGTTTCAAAACCATCAGGAATCGAGATAATCAGGGGTAAAACAGCCTCTGTGGAATTTTTTTCCTTAATCTGAAAAAAATAAGAGGTTCAGTAAACTTAACACTAACAAAAAAACTGAGTTACCCCCTCTGTGGAATTAGGCATTTTTGGTACATTTTTGTCTCTTTTATGTCTGAAACAGAGTCAATTATTTACCTTCGAGACAACTTAATCAAATCCACGTCAGTGTAAAAATCTGAATGACCCTCTTGCTCTTAATAGCTTGAATCCACTGGTTTCTCTCACAACCTCTTTATTTGAAATGTTCATCTTTTTATCAGACTCATGGTGCTTCAGGGGGGAAATCTACATTTAATAATTAATAGCTAATATCTACTGGCACATACTACATATCATGAACATTTCTAGCCTTTTCACAACTACTTTATGGGATAGTGCCAACTTACAGATGAGGAAATTAAGACAGAAAAAATTCTACATGTATCCAAAAGCCACCCCAGTCATCATTTATTTAGCCAGGATAAGGACACATTCACTCTTCCTCTAGAATGTGCCTTCTTATTCACTTCACATCAATTTTGTGACTTCCTTACTTCTTCAATGTGGTTTTGTATGCTCATTTTCTCTAGGATGTCTGCGAGGATCTCACAGTAGAGACAGAATTCCAAATCAGGTACGAATGCAGTTACTTTAATTATTTCTATTCACCTCCCTAAATGGACCTCAAATTGCCCCTTATTTTATTACTCTAAGCTCAACATATTTATAAATGCATTCCAAGTTCTTTTGAGTTATGAATTCATCAAATTTCTCTTCTCAAAGGCTTAGCGCTCCTAACACTCCTTAATGACTTAAAGGGACATCTTCTTTCTATTTCAGATTTCAAGCCTGCTTACCTTTTAATACATATTCAGTATCTAGGTATTATAAGAGCAATAGGATTATTTGACATCCTAATTTCCTCAGGCCTTATTTTAAACGCCTTTGTAGCAAAGGGTGATGCCAGCAGTAGCATTCATCCTATTGTTTGGCTTAAAGAGCGTGCAGGCAGCCCATTTGATATGAGAACCAGGACTGAGCCCTAAGGAAGACTGGTACTGGGACCCAGAATAAAGTACCCTGTAGATGATCCACAATGTGCCCCTCAACTCAACCCACAACCTCCAAACAAATGCACGCACACACACACACACACACACACACACACACACACACACACACCCCTCCAGGTAAAATGAGCTCAGAATGGACATCCAGGCCAGTACTGAATTAAAGAAGGCACAGCGGATTGTGTAATATGGGACACAATCCCTCAGTTTACTTTTTCTTTGTTACTAGGACAATGATATTTATAGATAAACAGACTGATGGTAATAGATAAATGTATACCACTATGCATACTTGGGCATCTGTACAGAATCTTAAAATGGATTTTAGGCTAAATTCCAGAAACCTAGATATCACTGTGCAATGGTGCAAAATTTCAAATGAGGTTAAAACAAAAACCTGCTCAACCCTTCAACCCCTCACCCACATACTGGATATAAATTTCAAGATTAAGAGAGAATTAGGCAATTTGGAGTTGGTGTTTGCTTTGGTTTGGTTTGGTTTGGTTTGGTTTGGTTGGAAAGGGCCTTTAGTAAGCACTGTCTACATTCTGTGTCCTCCCCCACCAAGTCATCCATATGTGGTGTTCTGCCCTCTCCTCACACCTAAGGAAAGATGTCAGAAGGACTTCTCAGAGAAGGAGTCCTAATACAGGATTCTTGTGCACATACCTGGCTCCTCCCTGGAAAATCTAAAGGCAGGAGATAAGGGCTTACAAGCTGGTTTGATGGCAGAATGAAAGAGAATTTGTTGCACTCAGGGTGAATCTCTGCACAACCAGAGCAGAGATGCACTTGTTCTGTAGGGAACAAAAGAGGAGAGATCCCAGCTGGGTGGGCGTGCACATCTCTAATCCCAGACTCTGGGAGAAAGCAAGAGTTTAAGCCCTGTCTGGGCAACTTAATGACTTAGTGACAGCCTGTATCAAAATAAAAAGGGCTGGAGGTGTAGCTTCGTGTGAAGGCCCTAGGTTCACTAGTGAGAAATGAAAAGAAATAGAAAAGAAAGAGATCTCCAGTGCTAAGGAAAAGAAGTAACATCTCCTAAGAAGCAAAACATGCCTGTTGGCTACCTTGAAGTCTGCTTTAACAGAAACACTTGAGGATCTCCTTATCTCCTCTTCCTCTCTGCACCCACCCACCGAGGAGGGGTCAGAACCAGCTAGGACAGCCACATTTATTTTACATACAGAGGGAAAAAATATGATGGTTCATCTTAGGTGTCAACATGGCTAAGCTCTGGTGCCCAGTTGTTCAGTCAAACATTAGCCTGGATATTGCCATGAAAGTATTCTGTAGATGTGGTTAACATTTATAATCAATTGGGTTTTTTTTAAAGACAACCTCAATGAGGTGGGTGGGTCTCATCCAATCAGTTGAAGATCTTAAGAGCAAAAGCCAAGATTTCCCAGAGAAGAACAAAATCCTGCCTGAGTTTCCATCCTGCCAGCCTGACCTACAAATTTCAAATGTGCCAACCCTTACAATCACAAGAATCAGTTCCATAATATAAACCAACATATACATATATGTACATATATATATACATATATATATACACATATATATATATATATGTATGACTGGTGCAACGTGCAAAGGTGCAAAGGGAAACTATTAATAACTAGTTAACTAGTTCCAGGCAACAGGCAAATGCGTAAACCAGGATGTGTGAGCTCCACAGTCAGAAGCCAAAAGCTGTGAAATGTGGAAGGAGCCTTAGAAGAGTTCATTGAAGAAAGAGAGAAGAGACTGACCACTCCCCTTTTCCTTGATCATGATCTCTGGCCTAGAATAAGCCTGAATGGGAGAAAGAAGAATTTGTTTTAAAACAAAGCTTGAGTTTTAATGATGGGACCAGACATCTTAATTACTGTCCTAAGGCAGTGCCGTGAGGCTTGAAGTAACTGGTGGTGAACACAGAAAACTCAGAGGGTCTCATCTGAGACAGAGGACTATATATGCCCAACAGAGTAGACTTTGAAAGGCAGTGGGAGACAAAATAAAGTTTTTAACTGACTTCCTCCTCAGAGGTCTGACTGAGGTACAGCAGCCAACAGTGTCTGCCTCACAGAGGCCCAGCCCTGGGGCCTGGGGCAGGGCTTGGTTTCACCATAACTTGGGGGCAGCTCTGCTGGGTTCCATCCACTGAGAAGAGCTCCAACACAGCTCATAATTTTGACTACTTCCTCCTCTGCTCACACCTCAGTTCATATGTTTAACCCACCAGGGCATATGGTAATTGTGAAAGCTCTTTAACACATTTAATAAATACTTCACACACTGAGTACATATTTATTGAGCATCTACTCTGTTCCTAGTACTGTTGGAGAGAAGTACAAATACAGAGTCTCTGGCTTCAAGAAACATATAATCACATGTAAGCTTTGGGATACCACTCTTCTTGTACTGAATTTTAATCCTCTTATGTATCTATTCTGAGTCATCTCATATTATAAAGTCTGGGAGCTCCCAATTTGATTTCCTCTTTTTTCCAAACTTACCTCTGTGGATTTTGTTCCTGGCTATAAAAATTAGAGCAAGGATACATTTTGTGGTTTGAATGAGAGGCCTAATACAAAGACCACAAACTTTAGATTGAAAAGAATTTTTACTGAAGATTTGGAATGTGTGCAAGCCTAGTTTATTGTTCGTAATACACAGAGACACATACACATATGCATTTATTTTTAAGTTTTTCAAGTTCTATTCATATAATCTTGGTTTTGTAAATTTTTTTTAAGTTGAAAGAGAACCTAAGGACTAAAATAAATTGTTCTCCCTGAGAAATAGGAGTAGCATTGAAATTATCCTTTGGAAAAAGCAGAGAGCCACATGGCCAATATATATGGTTCTTTGAAAATATTTAATTCTGCAAGAAATAGATCATGAAATGGTTTCAGATTTTCTTTCAGGAAGTGAATGTTAAGAGGAAGCCGAGTAGTTAACATTCTTAAGCATAAGATCCATGCCCCATGGAGAGAAATGGAGCACTGGGCCCAAATTTTACTCTGAAGTACAGATTCACATGCTGGTCAATAATATAGGGACTGGGAGCAGACAAAGAGGTTCCCAGGGATTCATGAAAGATCAGAAGGAGACCTTGTACAGCTAAGCTGAGCAGAAGGGTCGCTGTCATAACTGTGTTGAAGGCTCTTAACACGTATTGACTTATTTTCATGAAACAATGAGCTACTCAAACACCAGCTCCCAGGCCACCTGCCCCTTGCCATTTCCATTAAGCTGCATTTAGTACTCATTTTAGCCAAAGCCCATTTGATTATCACTTAAGCCTCTTTCTATACCAGTATTTCCAGATCTAAATCAGAAGCCATGCAAAGAGACTTATTTCATAAATGAAATGGAAGTGGGAGTGCTATTGTTTATATAAGACCAAATGTTTCTCTGCTTTCTGTCTAGCAGTAGGTTACTGCCTATAAAAAAAACAAAAAACAAAAAACAAACAAGTTTCCTGAAATGAATCTCTGCTTGTTTCCCATGAAGGCCACTACACCTGCCCCATATAAACCAAATTACCTTTAACAGGCCACCAGGCCTCAAGCACACTCCCTTGTGCTCCCTTATCTCAGGAGAGAGGCCCAGCCTTGATAAGGCTCCCTTCCCTCAGCACTCAGTTAATTCTCCTTGTCCCCCCGGGATACATATGGTTTCTGCTTCATGGAGTATCTTTGGCACCTACCGGCCCACTCTTGTTTTGCATCACCAGAATCTCCTGAACTTTATCAGAGATGATACAGATGTAATTAAATCTGAATTCTACTCTCTCCTTGTGACAACTCTACGGACAATTAATGATGATAAAAGAGCCTGCCAGCTGCTGCCTGACATACCAATGTGAGCTTCCAATTCCAAGGAAGATGTAGGGTGAAGGGCAGGTCCCTCTGGCTCCATTTCAATCTGTCTTTTATCTCACACTAGCTTAAAAGTAGCACTTACTTCAGGGAAATTTAGATTCCTCTTCTCCCCTTTTAGAAACACCAAGCAGACAATGGAAGGTAATGTAAGGTCTGTGAAATAAATAAGAATGCTTCCGGGAAGAGTAATTTAAGCTTTATCACCAGGACAGTAGATTCAAGCTGAACGCCAGAGTGGTGGGCTGTGCTGGCCCTCGTGACCCCCGAGGAGAGGACATGCCTGCCTATGGACTCTGCCACAGGAGAATCTCAGTTGGTAAAGAGGGAGCTGCATCTGCCAGGCACTTTATGGCTTTTTCCACAACTAGGCTGTTGCACTCAAAACTAACTTTGATCATGTTTGTCCCTTTCTCCCTCAATTTTAGGCTTAGCCACAGCTAGAGCCTGGTGCGATAAGATGCCTGGATGGAGACCAAGGCTTGAGAGAGGCAAAGGAATGAGTGGGAATGAGTGGAGAGAAAACAATGAGAACCAGGAAGAGGAGATGAGTGAGAGGAGACTGTTCAACACTCACACTTCAAACCTGCGTGCTGAGACTCCCTGGCACCAGCCCGGTGGTGCTGGCCTCCTGAGTTGCTTTCTGTTTTAGGGTTGGTGTTTGCAGGATTTGAGAATCCATTTAGATAATTCCCATAAGAAAAAATGCAAATGATTCATAAACATATGAAATAAATGTAATCAAAGAAATGCAAATACAAAACAACAAGGAAGTGTTTCTCATCTATCGAATTAATAGGGATTACAACAGGGGTATTCAACAGGGGTAGTGAGATGACCCATCTTTCGCTGTAGAAGTAATTGGTACAATCTTTCTCTTGGCAGTGGGGACCAAAAGTCTTAAAATCATACACGTTTCTTGACCCACTAATTCCTTTGTTAGGGATCTACCCAAAGGACGTAAGTGGAAGTTCAAGCAAGACTTGGGTATGAAGGTCTCATCGGGTCATCATTTACATCCAGGAAAAGTACAACAATAAAATATGACTTTGTGATAAATTATATGATCTAATTATAAAATATATAAATAAATGTGAAAAAATGGATTTGAACATTTCCTCACCAATTAATGTTATGCAGCGAATTTATGTATTTTTAAATCATTGTTAGTTACAACATATCATAATGTGATCTCAATTTTTTTAATTAGGAGAGATACATCAAAATATTAAGAGATTGCTTCTGTGTTGGTGATTTTAGTGGATTTGTTTTTCATACTTTCCTAAATTCTCCACAATGAACATATGGTAATTAGAAAATATAAACCAGCCATGTAAATGTGTCAATAAAGGATTAAAATTGCACTAGTCAGGATTGACTTTATAATAAACAAACCCCAAATCTTGGTGGCTTAAAAATTAAAGGTGTTGGGCCGGGGATTTAGCTCAGTGGTTCCACCGCCTCGCAAGTGAAAGGACCCAAGTTCGATCCCTGGTACCAAAAAAAAAAAAAAAGAAAAGAAAAACAAAAACAGATATTAACTGATGAACCGAGTTTAAGGTACAATTCCCAATGAGAAATGTAATTGTGTTGTATACCTACAATGTACCAATAAAAGAATTTAA